TGTTTATGCGTTTGTTTATTTTAGGGATAGACTTCAAGATTAAAACTGTTGAATTACAAGGAAAGAAGATCAAGCTACAGATATGGTGAGTAATATACACAAGCAGCTACGGGGTGGCATCCTTCTGGATGGCTTCTTTCAGAAGCAGGTTTTCGTGAGAAGAGTTTACTCTTTCTGAGATTACATTCAGGTACCTACTTTTGTAACTGTGTCTTGTATTTTCAGTAGTGGTAAAGCTAAAGCTCCATGTGTATACCCCTAAAACTATTTTTAAGAAACGAGGAAGAGATCTGGGTGTTGTGTTTATAACCACTGTTACCGACTGCTCCCTTGGACAGGCTCTTGGCAAATCTCCCGTTTGGGAGGACAGGATCCTCGCAGTCTGTGATTTAGTGGGAAGTGTTTTAAAAACTGGAATTTTTAAATTAGGAGTTGCCTCGAATCTGTGACTATAAATTGACTAGTAGCCTTGCTTTGTGTCAGCAAGAAAGCGTAATCCATGTCTGCACTTATTTTATATTTTTCCATGGTAAACTGTGGAGAGTTTCTCAGCTGGCTGAAAACATGGCTGTTTTTCTGTTGGAAAGTCTAACACGAGACAAAACCTAAACTCTTTCCTTTTAGCTTGCTATGCATGTCTAGCTAGAGATTTTTCTTCTGTTTTAATAGCCCCGTAACAAGGCAGGTCAGGAAAGCTAATGGCTTTTCCGAGCCTGTATTTGTTTAGGCTCCCTCCTCAACCATGTGCACGTATTGCTGGTGCATCCTCCAGCTTGACTGAGAGTTCAGAACTTGAACTTGCCCATTTTGTCCCCCGCTAACAAAAATCTTTTATGGCTTGATAATGTTGACATTTGTAGATGGATGGGTTCCGGTTAGAAGGAAGCACTCGCCTTCCTCTGAGGAAAACTGGCTGAATGATTATCCTTCCTAATGAATGTATTCTGAATCCTTCTTGTTACCATCGCTCTGAGCGTCGACCTCGTGACTCAGTTCTTTCTCGTATCCCAGTCCTGCAAGCAGAAGTTGGCCAACTTAGTTGTTTTGTTTTGTGCCCCGCAAGGGGAAGAGTTGTCAAAGTTGATTTTGTTGTATGAACCGTGTAGCCAGGCAATTAAGGAAGCTCTTGGACGATGAAGTAACTCGGCACGCTGGAATGCTTCAGCGGGGAGCCGCAAAGGGTAACCGTCTTCGTAAGGGCGGTGTTTTAGATGGAGCTGCCTGAGGAAGGATGGGTGTAGATCAGCTGGGAACCCAAAGCAGAGCAGCGGAAAGGAAGGGGCTGAGAGCGTTAGCCAAAGAGGCAGTCGGGTGTAATGCAGCTTCGCCGATTGACTTGCTGGGCAGCTCCTGCTGTACGAGTTCACCAGACGGTTAACATTCAGATTGTCAACCCAGGTCAAACCCTAACTTCTAACAATCATTCTGTGTCGCATTTTTTACCCCAACAGGGTAGGTGCTGTGTATCGCCATGGGATAGAAAGGTAGAACAAAGTATTGGAATGACTTTAAAAAGGAAGTGTTAGACTAAACTTGGGGAAAAGTCATCGTGAAATGTAAAAACTGAAAATACGGAATACTGAGGATGTTTAATGTGTATATAGACACAGAAGCAAGCCATAATGCAGCTGTATGCACTGTGGGTTTTAGTGGCTTAGAGAAATGAAGAGGGGTTTGGGTGAGCCGAGTTTTACGAAATTGCAACTTTTAAACATTGCAAAGTTTGGACGTTGTCATCTGAATCTGCTTCTTGTTCCTGCCCGTTTAAAATTTCACGTTTGAAATGAAACTTGGAAAGCAGAAAATGAAGTTCCTATGGCATGCACTTTTGTTGGAAGAAAAAGAGAAGAAAAATCTAGCTTTTGTAGTTTCCAACTTTTCCTGTACAAGGAGTTTTGCCCAGTAGTGGTTTGGTGGCTAGAACAGTAGTGTCTTTTGGTGAAGATATTTTGTGCAATGCATCTATATTTAACCACCGCTTCCTGTATTTAAACTCACCCTGTACTTCTAGGAGTTGTGTAACATACTTCCAGAATTACACTTCGCTCCCGCTGCAGCAGTTTAGTAAGCAAGGGATGCATTTAGTGGAACGTTATCCTTGCAAACCTGAGGCTGTTTCTGTAGCTTCTCTTGCATCCAGAGTATGGGTCGTGCTTTTATAACCGAAGTCAACGCGCAGGAGCTAACGTAGCCGAATCAACAGAACATGTCTTCCGAGTCGTGGGTAGCGCTTCCACTGGGACGCAGCTCCAGACTTGGTTAAGCTGATCAGAAGATAACAAAAGATGGGTGATGAAGAAAAAAAACAGACTTTGGGTTAAGGACAGGAGATGAGACTCGGCGCTTGCGTGCTTTCAGTATTGCGTTGCAGGCATGCTTGTATTGATGGGGCATATCCATGCTCGGAATTTAGAGGAGGAATGACCGCTATTTCATTTGTGGGTTCCCCCAATCTGAAAACTGTCATCCCATTTGTGAGATTGCCTATCAGTTTGCCCCGTTTCTTGTACGCACGCCTGAGCTGCTTCTGGTCGCTTACAGGGACGGGATACCAGGTGCAATGGCCCTGGCCCACTCCACGAGTGTAAGTCCAGCCACAGCTCTCCAAAAGTGCCTCCGTATCTTCACCCAGCCTTTTCTATGCTATTTTCTTGCTTCATAACAGTCCCTTTTATCGTTAGAAGCAAAGGCAGTTTTGTCTTGTCATTGTTGCTGTTATTATCATCATCATTGTTATTATTACTATTGCTTATTCAGATTGAAACCTCTTTTTTTTTTTTTTCTTTCCAGAATACTGACATTCAGCTGTTTGCGAATTGACAGATGGTGACAGAATTTTGTACCTTAAAGAATTTAGTATGTGTTAGCCATTTCCCAGATACGATGGAGTTTCTTTACATAGAGTTGCTCAGTGTTTATGAAGGAGCTGTGTCCAGTGAGCATGGCTGAACAAACCTGTCGCTTACAGAACAAGGTTTCTACATCAGTGGGAGTGATTAAGCATTTTGATTATGTAGCACTTGTTATTTACATAGGTGAAAAGTGTATTTCTTTTCACATACAGAAAGCAATAGAAATAAACTGTTCCTCAGTTTAAAATGACTATATTGACCTGCTTCTCACTGATCCATGTAATCCTCCATCACCCACATATTAAATCTTTCTCGTGCTGCTGTCCTGGTACAGGAGTTGCTCTCGGCTGCCTGCAAAGCTGTGTCGCTGTGTTTTACTGTGGCTAGTACTGGCTTTTGTACTGCGTGGGGAGGGTGTCCAGTCTCAGTGGGCAACTAGTTTTACAGAAAACAGATAAAACTGGTGCTTTCTAATAGAGCTCTGCTCCTACAGAGCAGGATAGCTACCTGCCTCTTCCTGGGTACGGAAAAAGAGCAGACGTGGCAGTGTCTCAGTCATGCCTTGACCTCTAAAATATATATATATAGGAGTTAAGCAAGAATACAGAGGTCAAGCTGAGTTAAACCTTGCCAGAGGTGTAAAGCAACTTGATACTTCACAGCTATTAAAAACTGGGGTTGCTGCTCAGTAAGGATCAAGCTAGGATTAAAGCGTTTTCATATTGCTCCAAATGTAAATGTGCCTGTTGCAAAACGACGTTGAAAGGGGGAGAGGGGAGGCTGGGACGAGAGGGAGCGGAGAGTGGTGGGGTTGGGTGAGGAGTGGGACTATGTCCGTGTGCAGGGAGCTTCTGGAGAGCCTCAGCGAGGCCGGGCAAGCGCGGTGTGGTGCGTGGGCTGCAAGCGAGGAGGAGGGTGGGACACAGCCCTCGGGGCTGGCCTTCTGAAGGAAGGAGCTCGTTCAGGGCAGATCCATCAGGAGGAGTACCGGTATGTCAAATTCTGGGTGGAAGCACGTAGAAGAATCGGGTATTTTCTTGGATAGGTTGTCGCACTACTTGGCTGTTCAGAAAAACTGTTGATGTGACAGTATATGACACGATGCCATATGGAAAATCACCGGTGGTGGGCTTAGTACAGGGTTTGGGAGAAAGGAATTAGGGTGAAAATTTGGGAGTAGAAATATGTACAAAGGGTGGGACCTGGGAGGGTTCACAGTGATGAATGTCTTGGAAAATATTAATACAGTAATGCTCATAGTACAGAGAAGAAAAGGAGAATAAAAGAACCAAAAGTGAGAGATTACTGCTCCAGGAAAAGATGGTGTTATCATTATGAAAGTGATGAAACGTTTTAGAGGAATAGAGTAGTAGAGCGAAAAATTCAGCTACAAAGTGTAATATTGCGCACTTCTGGAAGTTGGGTAGAATTGCTTTGAAATGGAAACCGAAAGGCTTAGGCATCCTGTAATTCACTAAACTGATTAGCATAATGTAGCAATTGAAAAATTAAATGTGATTTTTCTGATACCGTGGGTGCGATCATTTCCAGTGGGCAGGGAAGTAAGTGTCACAGCCTAACATAATATACAATTTTGATTAGCATGCCCTAGCCAGGAAGGGGCAAGTAGGATGATCAGAGGGACGTAATAGCTATTTTAGGAAGAACAACTGGAAAGATTAGCATTCTTCAGGATGCCAGAGAAGTGACACAAGAGTATTTTTAAAATCATAAGAATACTGGGAAAAGTAGGTAGAGATTGATGTAACTCATTGCCTTTTCCAATACCAGAACATCAGTTCTAGCGTAAGGCTAGAAGGTGGCACGTGCAAAACACAAGGCAATGAAGTTAAGCTGTGAAACTCCTCGTCACAAAATGTTGTGGTAGCCACAGACGTACGCGGGTTTGCAAGGGATTTCACGAAAGAGCAGTCTGTTTTGGACCCGTAAATACACAGATGTCATCTCTGGCTCCGGATGTCCTTGAACTACACAGAAGCGGAAGCTGGAAAACCTTTGACCAGGTACGGCTCTTACGTGCTTGTGAGAATGCACAGAAGTCGGATCTAGGTTTTTTCATCCTGATGAAGCGAAGGCTGAAAGGAAATCTGACTGTTGTCTAAAAAATACATAGTGGTAGCAGACACAGAAGAGAAGGAAGGACTCTTGAAGCTCAAGGACAAGTGGAAATCAAAGTTGCTGGAAATCCATGAGGTGTGGAAGACTGGGAGAA